CAGGTGAGAAGAGGATGACTTGAAAGGAGGAAAGGATATAAATTATATCCTGGAGTTTTTTTTAAAAAAAAACCACACGACAATGGTCTTGGCTTGCTTTCCTCTGCTGTTATGACTGACTGCAAAATTAAACACTTGCTTATCACCGCGGGACACGCGTCTGGTTATTAACTCCCCTTTTGTTTTTCTCTTTCTCTTTCACTTGCCTTGTCAGTTGCTTTCAGGAAACGCTGATCCGGTTATATATCAGGGTAGCTATTACCATGCCAGCTGTGCCAACTTCTGGCTCAACTGTGTGGACGCCGTTCTGCCAAGAGACCTGATCCTTCCCCCCGTCTCCATGTTTTCGTATGAGTGACAGATACCCGTTTTCCTGGATGCTGCAAATGACGTACAGTCGCTCCTGGCAGCCATGCCCTTTCTGGCTGAAAATAGAACAGATTCGTTTCTTAAGTCAAGAACGGAGCACTTTGGCCGGTCCAGGGGGGACCATGGTCTGCTCCGGCATGCCTTGAATGACAGGATGGAAGTTCAGAAGGAAGTTGGAAGGAAAGAAAGAAGGAAGGAATGAAGGAACTGGAGGTCTACCCAATTTTGAAAAACCAATATTTTTCAGTGTTGAGTGATGTGGGGCGAATTGCTGTCCATTAAAAATCTTTACCACTACTGCTGAAGGTAGTTCATCTTCTCTTCCTTTCTCTTGATTTTCTGGGATGTTTTGGGGTTGGGGGGATTGGAGGGGGCTGGAAACCACCCCCCAAAAAACAAAACAAAAAAAACAGCCTTGGGAAGCCTCAGATGGCCCTGGACCGGGGCAGGAAACCACAAAAAAATAAAAACAGCCTTAGGAAGCCTCAGATGGCCCTGGACTGCAGATTTTTGCCACTCCTGCCTTAGATCTTCCTCATGGCCGCATGGTGCTGGTGCTGCCAGAAAGACTTGCATCTTTTTTCCCCCGTTTCTCAAAGTAACCTTATTTTAATGGGGCATGTTAGAATCTTGCTAATGCAGCATACTTTTGTAGAACATTACGAATGAAGGGCATTCAGGATCGCTTTAAAGAAACCTCTGCCGGTGGTGCCTCTACCTTGGGACAAAACATCTCGGCTTGAGTCACAAGGCAGCCCAAGGCACATTTGCTCAGGAAAAAAACCCATTGAGTTCGATGGCATTTACTCCTAGGTAAGCAGGAATAAGCTGGCTAGATCGCTCAGTGCTGTAGGGTCATAGCATGAAGGATGGAGGAGGTAGGTGGTCAAAGAGAATCCCATGGCAGTGGGTCCGTTTTCTAGGAATAAATAAAAGGGCGGGTTGGTGCTCTTAACTAAAGTAGGCCCACTGAATCAATGGAATTTACACAGGTGTCGACTCACCCTTCAACAGTTGATTCAATGGCCCAAATCCTGTTCCTTAGCATATTAAATAACATTAGAATAGACCCACTGGATCAATGGGGATTTGGGAGTCAATCCTTCCATAAGTTCCATCCATTCAAACGGGCCTACTCTAACTGCAGCTTACAATGCTGAAGTAAGTTTTGGTTTGAGTAGGCCCATTTGAATCAATGGGACTTATGGAGGAATTGATTCCTAAACCCCCATTGATCCAATAGGCTTACTCTAGTGCAATTTACTTGGCAGAGCAACAGGATTTTGGCCTAGAGATCTATGCTAGGTGACAGCAGCAACTGGCTTAAGACCCAGCACTCTGATAGGAGATAAGGACTATGGCCTCCTTAGGTCAATCCATTGTTCTGATGCTCCCATAATTTGGAGGCTCAGATGTTGAATTTAGAAGCCGTGACTGTTGGCTGTGCTGGCGAGTCCTCCTGGTGAACCTCTAATGCCTCAGTTATGGGACCCACTGTCCTAATGACTGTCCTTGAATTGTCTTGGTCTAGGACACCGGCAGAGAGGATCGGCCACATTTCTTTTTGGATGGGGAAGGAATTCTGAGCAGAAGTTCTGCCCAGCAGTTGTGCTCTCTCTCTCTCTCTCTCTCTCTCTGATGAGTTTTTCTGCTGCTGTTGTTTTTCACTCTCTCTCTCTCTCTCTCTCTCGGGTGGGTTTTTCTGCTGCTGTTGTTTTTCGAAAGGAAACAGGAAAGATTTCCCTCCGGCATGGACTGCACACTCCTCTGAGTCCCTTTCTGTCGTTGCTACAATATTGTTTAGCTAACTTGCAAAATGGAAATATTAACGTGGGTGTTTTGTCTTCCAAAAGGAAACTTTGAAACTTCACTGAAATGTTTATTCACAAATGAGGTGCAAACTTAACTGTATCCTTTTTTTGTAACTTTTGTTGGTTTTATTTATAGAAAAAAAAAGAACCCACACAGAGAGCCACCCCTGATCAACTGATCCTTTTTTTCCCCCCTGTACAGCGGCTAGTCTGGAGTCAGACGCATCTCCAGCTTAGCAAAGATAGCGCCGGTGTTCGTGTTGTTCCGGTCCACCCTCCTCTGCCAGGGGAGCTGCGTACAGTGGTTGTCACAAGGCGATCATTAATCTGAGTTCATTTTCGTAGAGGTCCGGGATCACCCCCAGCGGAGACTGGACCATTTGGACGCTGGTCTTCCCAAAGAGTTTGTGCTCGTACTGGATCAGCTGACGCCAGAAGCCATTGTTCGGCCGGATGATGGGGCGGCAGGATTTGACCCAGGCATGAGCGTTCGCCAGGGATAGGGAGTGATACTTCATCAGATAAGCGATGCACAGGGCGGCCGATCGGCTGATGCCTGCCGCGCAGTGCACCAGCGTCCGGCCTTGGTTCGCCTCGACGGCATGGATCTTATCAGCTACGGGATCGAAGAAGTCGTAAAGGCAGGAAGCGGGGCAGTCCGTGATGGGGACGTGAATGTAGTAAATGTCCGGGAAATAAGTGTTAATCACCTCCACGGAAACGTTGATTACCGTGGTGATTTGGTTGGCATAGAGGAAGAACTTATTATTGGCGGCCTCCCCATTACTGATGAACAAGCTGTCGGTGATCCGGGACAGCCCATAGATAGACGGATGCCTGAGCAAAAAGGGGAGGGGTCTGAAAGGTGTATTCATTAAGGCAAACTTCAGACATCAACCACCACGGAAGGCATCATCCTGGCTCGCCACGCTTAGAGAGACAAAGAGAAAAGAAGTGTGTTACCTGACGGTCTCTTCTGCCTTTGAAATGTTGCTGACCCTGAAGGCAGGGTATTCTCTCTGGCTGAACTCATTAATTTTCTAACCCTTTAGCCCAAGCTCCATCATTTAAAGGACTGAAGCTGCGGAGCATGCTGGCTCTTTCCTAGTCTAATCTTTATAGATAAATGAACATTTCAAAATTGAAGTGTTAGAAGAACCTTCAGGCCCGCTGGCCTACCAGGTGGATTATAGACAGATTATTCTTCAACAAGACTGGCAAGAGAGAAATTGAGCGTTGGGACTGATTAGGAAAATGTTTGGTGAGGGCAGGAAAGATGGAAAGGCTATGATAATGTTCACCCACTGAACTCAGGCTTACAGAAAGGGTGACAACCGTGTCCCATTCATTTCATGGGGTCTTCTCTGAATTTAGTCCGTCATCTCATAGAATAGTGAAGTTGGAAGGGGCCTACAAGGCCATCCAGTCCAACCCCCTGCTCAAGGCAGGGATAGAAATCAAAGGAGATCTGCCAGGTAGTTGTACAACTTTCTCTTGAAGGGCTCCAGTGTTGGAGCGCTCACCACTTCCCCTTGAGGTCATGGGTTCCATTGTCGTACTGCTCTAACAGTTCGGAAGTTTTTCCTGACATTAATTCTCTTGTTGGCCTAACTACCTGCCTGGTTGTCAGCATGTCAGTAGGAAATACAACCTTGTCTAGGGAGAGGCCTCTCCACCTGCACACCTGTATAAATGTTTTGGGCCAAGAAACTCTGGCATCGACAGTAGCCCTCGATCACCCTCTTTCAGGCAGCTCTCTTCGTGGGCATCCTCGAGGTCGTTTCCTAGTAACGTCTAAAAGGGAAAAAGGGAAAACAAAGGGAGAATGTGGAACCGGCTGAAATACAGTAGGGCCCCCTTATCTGCGGGATCAGTATCTGCTGATTTGCTTATCCAAGGTCTGAAAATATTAAAAATATTAAATGTGGAATGTGAAACACTGGCAATGAGTTTGAAGACCAGCACAAATTCCAGCCCACCGGCAGCTCTGGAGTTTGCGCAATTGTGGAAAAAGCAACAGTACCTCTGAACATGGCTAAAGGGTACATCTGGAACCCATTCAAATAAATCCCCGAAAAAACCAAGAGTGGTCAGTCTGGCAGCATTCCATTGTCCAACATTTCAGATCCAAAACCTAAAACCTAGACGACAGACCCTTGACCCCCAAACCGGAGTCTCCAGAGCACAGGCTGAGTGACTCGTGGCCTTTCTTATCTTTACTTCGGGCAAGAGTTCAAAACACAGAAGCCAGCACCCTTTCGCTAGTCCCAGCGACTCCCATATCCTAGACTCTCAGATATGCCCCCACTGAAGCCACATGCTTCAGTGCAGTAGCCAGCCTGAAAGGAATGACATTGAACTAGTACACTTTGTGACCGAGGGCAAACCTCAGGAAAGAACAATAGCATTGTCTTACCCAGTCGGGAGTGAATCCACTCGTGAATGGTAAGTCAGCACCTATACACCAATCCCATTGAATGAATGGCTCTGACTCTGGCTGGGACTGACCGTGGAGAGGATGGGCTGGGAGGCCCAAGGGTACCTTTCTAAGGCTTGCCACTGGAGTTCCACATGCCTCCCTGTTTGGGCTCGTCTGCTGAATGGAGTCGGGAGAGGAATTCCTGCAAGAACAAAGAAAGGAGTCACACAGCAGAGGAAAACTCAACCACCATTCTGGCGCCCTCCTCACTTGGAGGTCTTAACCAGCACAGAAGGAAGCAGGGCTGGACAAATGTAGACGAGGTTGGAAAACCTATCTGTTCCACTTAGCTGCCTTGAGTCCTTTTAAGGAGGAAAGTGGACTGAATGGATGGATGGATGGATGGATGGATGGATGGATGGATGGATGGATGGATGGATGGATGGATGGATGAATGAATGAATGAATGAATGAATTGGACTCGTGGGGGAGGGTAGAGAGAGGTTAGCTGCCATTGCATTTTATTTGAACCTTTTAACTGGTTGTTAGCAGTTGGTTAATTCTTCTTGATCATTCCCTATTCTGAAGAGTTTTATGTTGAGGTTTTATGCTGATGTGCAGCTCATTATATAGACAAATATACATGTACACATATGCATGTACATATGCATGTGTGTATATGTATACATATGCATATACAGTGGTGCATCGCTAGACAGTTAATCCGCATGACAGTTTTTTCACTAGACATTGACTTTTTGCGATTGCTATAGCGATTCGCAAAACTTATTCCTATGGGGGAATTTCGCTAGACAATGATTTGGCTAAACAGTGATTTCAGTGGAATGGATTATCATCGTCTAGCGAGGCACCACTGTACATACACACACACTAATAAGCTTGTTGTTAAATGTTGCATTGCATGTTTGTACATTATTGATGTTATTGGAATGCTCTCTAGTGTGGAGCACAGTGTAACTGTGATTGTCTGCAGTGGTGGCTCAGCCTGGGGTTGAGCTAGGATGTATTGAACAGACTTCCAGCTGAGTGTGCAAACAGGATTCTCCAGGTGCATTTATGCAGCAGCTTTCCTCACCACTGATGAAGCATGATGGAAAAATAACCATTTTCTCCACAACCAACAGGAAGATAAAGTTCCATATTTTTTGTGCCTGTGAACCATTAGCGTCAAACATCACTGTATAATAAGTAGAATAACAAGCTATTTTTCAGTTCAACCGTTTCTACCCATTTACACCAAATGCATGTCTTCAGCAAACAGACCCTTTCCAAGCACCCTCAACCTGGCTAAAAAGGTCTTCCCTGGAATCACTTCAGTATAATAAGGGCAACGGGGCTTTTGAAAAATCCTCTAGAAGACCTTGTGAGTTGAAAGAACTGTGTGTGCTGGACAGGTCTTATCTGAAATGCTGTTTTGGCAGAGGAAAAGGACTCAGAGGGCTTATTCGAAAAGGACAGAAATGCTCTCATTCTGAAAAATAGCTCTCCTTCTGATCCGTAAACAAAGCTTTTAAAGAGCTGGAATTTGAGAAGTCTGACAGGCTGTAAATGTAGCAAACGGTCCCTGCCTGGTATATGCCTTCTTTCCAATCTCCTTTGGCCACATCTGGTGGCTATAAGTTCCATAAGAACACTTGGTACTGAAAAGAGGCCATGCCCCCCATGTTCTAGCAGAGCCTCCCATTCTTAGAAACCTTGCCACCACCAGTCTTTAGCTCCCAATGGGGGCGGGGAGCTAGCTCCCAGCTCCCCACCCACCTTCCAAAGAGAGCAAACCAGGGGCCAGGAGGAGACCCCCCCTCCAGACCAGCCAAATGAGATCCCTAATTCCCAACATGGGATAACTCAAGAAGTCCTTATGGGGGGGGGAACCTTCTAATGGATCCTATCAGTCACCCCATTCCTCCCCTAGTTCCTCGGCTCTCCCACCTTCAGGCATCTGCTGTCAAGAGGTAGACTGCCCCTGCGCTGGAGGTTCTATCCGCCTCTCCTGACCCACAGCTTTCTCTTTCTCTTCTTCCTCCCACCTCCCGAGGTGGTGGTGGTGGTGAGGGTGGTCGGTGTTTGTGCGCGCCCCTCTCCTCCTCCCCTTCTATCGCTTCCCGACCTGGAAAAAAACGCGGAGCAGGAGGCAAGAGTTTTTTCCCCACCGACCCACCCGGTTTCTCCTGCCGGGCGCCGGGTCTCGCCTGCGACTCCCACCCGAGGAGACGCACCCAAGGCGCCTCTGCCAAGCCCGGCGACCGTCTCCAGCGCAACCGTGAGGTTCCGACCCGATTGTGACCGACCCTCCTTCCCTCCCCGACGGACGGGCACGGCTCCGGGGCCGGCGTGCCATGGAGGCGGCGAAGAAAGATGCTCCCCGCCCGGTGGTCACCTTTTTCCAGCCGCGTTCGCAGGAGGCGGTCGGGTAAGGAGGGCGCAGGACGCAGGACTGGGTAACTGAGGGAGGGGGGAAGAGATATAACATTTCCATCCATATTTCCATTATGGGGGTGGGGGGGATTGTTAGGGACCATCCTGCCCCTCTCTTGGAAGACCCCCCCACTTTCCCCAGGGCATCGAGGCCATTGGTTTGCCCTCCCAGAAATGTAAGATAGCAGCGCCTCTGAGCATGGAACGAGTTTTTTTTTTTAATGCAGGGGATAAAAAAAGCAAGAGAAACTCTGAAAGCTTACTGGTATAAACAAAACGTGGGTTTTCTTATTAAACACAAACACCCACCAATACGTTGCTGATGTGTTTTTATACCCCCATGTTATAAAATATCAGTCATCTACAATTACGATATCCAAACCACATTGGTTAAAAAAAGACATATTCATTAAAAAAATTGCAACCACAGAGTTGCCTAAAAGATTATCTCAAGGTTGCACACATGTTTATGATATATACAGTTCTTTTAATCATAAATAACCATCTGCTGAGAAGCCTGGACAAGCATTCATACAAAGTGCTAAATTCATTAATAGAAATGCTTAATTGGAATACGCCATATCTTATTAGGCTCGAAGTTTCCTTGAGAGTTTTTTGTTCAAAATCCCCACCACTTTTCTTCAGAATCTAGTTTGCTTTGATAACAAACTATCTTTGCTTCTGGGTCACAAACTGTCCGTTGCTGCTGACCAAGATGCTTGCACATGAACTGTTTTGTTTGTTTATATGCCCTCTGCTCTGGGTTTTATTTTACAATATACAGTATTTCTCTTGCAGTTTTTGTGGTACGGTTACCTGTTTTTATTTAATATATGATTATTATAATGTTTTTATCTTGCTGTAAACTGCTCAGAATAGTGCCTTGCGGCATTGGGCCAGTATGCAACTCTAATAAACAGACAAATAAATACTTTATGATGTAAGGCTCTCATAACCAGGGGCTATAGCAGATTGCCCGTGTGCATTAAAAGCAAGAAGAAATCTTTCCCCTGGCCAGATATAATATCTCCTGGGAAGCCCACACCGCTATTCACAGGCTGTTATTTTCTCATCTGGCAGTGCGGTCATATAACTAAAAATTACACTGCATCGATTTACAATATTTTTATACCAGCTTTCTGCAAGATTTATTTCCCGGCCATTGATGACAATAAAAGAACACCCACATCTTGCATCTGAAATTGTAGACTGGCAGTTCTGGCCTGGGAACGTGGAGGCAGCCGGAGTAAGCACTAAGCGGACTACGTTTTCTTATTCAGTTTGTACAGTAGCGTTAAAACTCCGTTATGGAAGTTCCTCCCGAAGAGTAATCTTTCCAAGGTGATTATTCGTGACAACACCATTCTCCAGCGGGTGCAGGAGATCAAGGTAGGATTCACGTTCGATTCCCACTGTAGCTGTAACTCCTACCTCTGGTTTGTTGTTTTTTTTAAATTAAAAACAGAATAAGAGGGTGGCGGCATTTGACCAAAGACTAACTAAGGCTGGTGACTCTGACCTTGCAGGGGTGGCAAATCAACTCTACGTTTGTTTTTTGTTTTTGCATTAAGGAGCAAGGTGCCTTAGAGAGAGAGGTTTCATAATATCTTGACAAAAATCTGTTGTGGCTTCACTGTTCATGCAAAACTGCTCACAGGACTTTTTGTGTGTGTGTGTTTCCCCCAAAATGTCTTCATTTGTACCTCTGGGGCTGGAAATTGCTGCCACAGAAGAAGCAGGAGGCTATGCAGTCTCTCCCTCTGTCTTTATGTGCAGGTGGCCATACGCTGGCTTCAGTGGGGGGAGGGCTCCCTATGCTTAAGGGGATGTCCACTTATCTGTTCACTTCCTCCAGTGTGAAATAAGATTTAGGGTGCCGGACTTGAGAAATCAGGCTCTAATCCCCATGAAATCAGGAACATCGCTGGGTGATTTTGGGATAACCTCTCTCTTAGTCTGGCCTACCTCATAGGGTCGTTTTGAGGACATGCTGAGGAGGGGATATGGCTCCTTGGAGAGAAGGTGGGGGCTTCAGGTGAAAGAAAAATAAATAAATATAGATATGGATTAGAAGGCCCCCATGCATACATTAGCCTTCCTGCACCAGGAAAACAGTTAGATTTTGTTTTGGTTGAGAAAAAATGGCTATGAGATGTGGCAGCTATTTGAGCCTCCTCATACCGAGGCAGTATACCACTGAATGCTAGAGGCTTGAGGACCATCAGGAGCAGAGTATTTTCTTTCTTCTTGCTACCCAAAGGTACACAATGGCAACTTGCTACTGCTTTTGGAATCAAAGAGGCCCAGATTGCACTGATCTTATTTATACATTTGTTTATTTATGACACGGATACCTTACCTTTCCACTGAAAAATAGCGATAAGGGATTCTAAACTAGCCTGAAATAAAGTACTGACAAATAAGGAACCCACGAAAGAGACAGTCAGCAATAAAACCCTTACAATCACAGCAATCAGGACAGCTAAAAAATAAAAAAGCAGTAAAACAGTGTGAAGTGCCAGTCCCAAGAATCAAGTGTCTCACCCAGCCGTGCTCTCCTAGAGGAAAGTGGCCGCCTCCTGAAGCAAACCACTGGCCCATCTCGGCAACTGCAGATGCTGTTGTGGCTTTGCAGGGCTCCGTACAACACTTTTTCCTAGTTTTCCCTGAAGTTGCATGTCAGGGTTTGAAAGGGGACCTTCACTAAGCAAAGCAGGCCTCTTCCCACATTGGTGGGGCCCCATCTTGTGTTTCTCCGCATGCTTTCAAGCTCCGAGGGCATGGGCCACATGCCCCCCGAAATATTTCAGTTTTCCTTGGAAAAAGAATTGGCTGAAAAATTTCTTTTGGTAAGGCATAGGGTCCTTTTGTCATGTTCTGAGGGTCCCTATTGCGTTTCTGTGTATATGTGTGTGGCCACTAGAGGGCACAAGGGGGCTTCTCCAGTTTAAGAAACTATTTTATAAGAGAAAAAAAAGGTGCATGGGAGTCACAGAATCAGGTACCGCCCTCCAAAGTTGGGGCATGTATAGCCCTTGACTTCTGGAGGTTGCACACTTGCCTTTTCTTTTCCTCTGAATAACTACTGAGTTCCACACTACCATTTCTGATCCGTCTCTCTCTTTATAATTTTAAAGGTGAAGCACATAGAGGAGAGCAAGACGAAGGTGGGCAATATGTACGATCAGATGAAAAAGAAGTTTATGCACGACCAGGAAAAGAAGATGACCCGTTGGAAAAACGAGTATGCCAGATACCAGAGGATGTTGGAACAAATTGATCAGAGGGCCTTGATGAAAAAAAGGATGTCTGTGCTGGAGCCACAGGTGTCCTCTTTCACAATGTGGAAAAAAACACCCTTTAAGCAAGACCGAATGAAATAATTTTAAGCAACAGATTATAGAAGTCGCTTTGTGGCTTCACTTTTGGCTGAGTAAATCCTGCTGAAAAAGCATGATTTTCCTCCTGGGTTATCCTTTTGTTTTGTCTGGTTAGAAAAAGGGAATTAATAAGCGTGTGAGGCCTGCCTTTTTGTCTGGACAACCTAGTTTTTGCCAATGACCCTTTAATTCAAATTCGGGGTGCTTCATGGTTTCCCTGCAGCCTGTTATTTCCTATTTTCAAGTGGAGGACTGAGGCTAGGGTAGAGTCACGGACTCAAGTGAGCTTGTCCATCGCTAGGAAAGTCCTCTTGAGATGCTTAAGTGGAGCTTCCAGATGAAGATCCCATGAAGGCCATACCTCTTAGACTCTACGAGAGGCGATACCTCCTCAGGATGGAAGTCCGAGAGGACCTGGAACTTGACTCCTCCGTCCAGGGGTTCAGTCACTCTTAATTCCAACTCCCTGGCCTTGTAGGGTAGTTTGTTCCTTACTGTCCTCAACTTGGTGGGGGCTCTCCTTGAAGGAGCCCTTCAATAGGGTTGGGGATTGACGAGAGGAGAAGGTGCATTCAGGTCTTCCAGGTTGAAACTTGGCATGCAAATTCTAGGACCAAGGATGTGCTGAAAGAAACAGCCTTGGACAAAACATGGAAATCAGCCGGGCTGGGAACTCCTTTCCTGTCGCTTGAGCTTAGATATACTCTGGTGTGCCACACACCTACAAACTCTGTCTAGTGTCACACAAATCCCTCCACTTATTGCTGTCTTCACTCAACAGCACCGAGACATATCAAAGCAAACTCAAATGGGATCAATGCAGGCTTAAATTACCTGCTTTCCAGACCACCTTCACACAACGTCTGTCTCAGTGGAGATCTCAAGCATCATTGTACAGTAAGGTTTTAAGCATGCTCCAGAGATCTTAGAACTGGAAGGGACCTTATGAGATCATTGAGTCCAACCCCCGTCAAGGAGGCCCAGTGGGGAATCAAACTCCCAGCCTCTGGGTCTGCAGCGAGGTGCCTAAACCACTCAGTTATCCAGCAGTTCTGTCTTTAGTTGCATCTTCTGCAACAGATGATTAAGAGATTTTTAAGGTGTATGGAAACCTACTTTGAGCCTCTGTGCCAAGTCCTGGGACTGGTGGATGTTAACTGCTGTACATTTTGTCACAGAAATTACATCAACTCTAATAGGCGTGTGGCCATTTTCATTCTATGTTTTGCACACTTCATATTGATATGCTGCAAAATAAAAATGGATAGTCAGCCCAAAGGGCCCAGAAACTACTATTTGTATGTATTCTGCCAAAAGTTTTCCCACAGTTCACGTTTAGATATGTGATGGAATATGTGATGAAATTGTCCATGTTGTTTATCCAGCTGTTTTATCACACACAGCCTGCTGTGGCACTGAATGCAGAGATGTGGGGGAATTGGCAAAATTGTATCAACCGGACAAATAATCACGTTGGAATGCATTTTTCTTTGTTTGTTTCAATAATTTATATTGCACTCTTTTATATAAAAATATTTCCAGAACAACCTACATAAACCGCACTAAAGTGAACAGTAATGTCAGCCATTAGGAAGACATACATAGGAAAATAAACAGTGGTTCCCAACCTTCGCTCCCCAGATGTTCTTGGACTAACACTCCCAGAAGCCTTCATCACTAGCTGTGATGCCCAGGGTTTCTGGGAGTTGTAGTCCAAGAACATCTAGAGACCTCAGATTTGGAACCACTGCATTTAGAGAATGTGAACAGAAATAAGGGTGAAAAAGGCTGGGGAAAAATTATAAAAATTAGATATCCTCTTTGGGTTCTGTGTTGGTGCAAAATACTGTAATCCCAGTTGCTTGTGATGTTCAGTAAATTTCTCTTAGACCTTGACCAAAGACGAGGCATGCAATCCATGGAAAAAAGGGTGCTGATAAAGGTTCAGAAAAGAGTCAGTAGAAATAGTTTTGTTGCATATTAACAAATGCACTTTTTTTTGTAAGCTGGCATTTTGGCCATGCAAAGTACCTATCTCCAGGCTTCTAAGCAAACCCCACAAATGTGCATAAAATTGCAACCGGAAAAAAAAAACAGTGGTGAGCCCATTCAATGCAACGTAGCTGTCTCAGGTGCATGGAAAATTAGACTCATATTTCACAACACAGTATTTCACTCTGTATGCCTGTAACACCTGTGGCATTAATAGATTTCATGTACATTTGCTGGGGTTCCTTTTGTTTGTACTTTGCCTTGAGTCCTCAGGAGAAAGGCAGGCTCTGAATCAGGCAGCATATGTGAATAAATAAATGGCTGTAACAAACTGGCAAAATTGAGAGACAAGCTTTGCATGGCACCTTTATGGGACCTTTAAACCCCTGGTTTCCTAGCCTTGGGTCCCCAGATGTTCATGGACTACAACTCCCAAAAATCTTGGCCACCACAGTGGTTGGGGTCACACAGCTCTAACCCACAATAAAAAAAAAATCAGGATTTGAAAGTTTCAGGTTTTTTTTTTACAGTATTTTAGTGGTCCAATGGAAGGATCATGGAATCTGAATTTGGCCCATGAAACACAGGGCTACGTTTTATGATGTTTATGTTGCTTCACAGGCGAGGGCCCTCGAAGACCTTAAAATTGGCGCCTCGCCTCCACCTGAAGCGCTGACCGTTAGCGCCACACCCGTTTTCCCGCCCATTTTGGCTCCTCCTCCGGAGCCCCGCCCCCTGGGCACTCCCTCCTTTCACCCCCTCCCCTTGCCACTCAAGAGCCTGCGCAAGGGAGCTGAGGCCACGTGGTCCAGAGAGCCGGCAAAGAGGCGGGGTGGTGGTGGAGGAAGGAGGACGCGAGACGTCACGGGTGGGCGGGGCGGGGAGAGCGGGCCTTGTCTGAGGGGGCGTGCCCTCGGCGCCCGGTCACGT